CTTATTTTTATTAAAACTTTGTACTTTTTGTGACTGACTATAGTTGTAACCACTATTTAAAAAATAAACGAGTTTCTAATTTGGTGACAATAGTAAATCAATCACCCAAACGTTGACTGATAGAGAATGCTTTAGGCATTAAGTCCGCGAATGCACTCTAAGTGCATTATGTACAAAACATAAACAGTACAATAAAAGATAGGGAGATATATTTAGAGAAAAATAAATTAAGAAACTTTCATTACGAGAATGTAGATGTATCATTTGATAGCAACAAGTGTTTTTTTGCAGATTCTGTACCGCTGTGTGTAAATCAAAACACAGTAAGGAAATTATTTCTAATAGCACTTTTTTTGCATATATCGAACTTTCATAGTAAGTTGCGTTGAATTGTGAAGACACCTTTTTTTTCTGTGCGGTAATCCCCGCGGATACCACCTACCAGTGGCTATGTCGGACTACGGGCATCTACTGCGAGTAGATGACCCCCTCCTGTGTGGGAACCCCCATGTTCCCTTGGTACTCCCAAAAGGGCGCTCGCGCTCCGCAGCGCGTCTCGCTGCCACACCGGCCTGCTTCTGCTAAGGTGACAGATGGCCTCAACTGTCACCCCCAGGCCTGCGCTTATGGAGGACGGAGGTCGTTCTGCGACCTCCGGCGCCCCAGTCGTCTGCGGTACCTGACCCGTTCCCGGGCCTGGCGGGCCGGGAGAGGTCTAAACCTGTGAAGACACCTGCTTTAAAATCTTACAATAAACAGATATCTTGACGCTATGAAACCTAGTAAGTATACTATACTCTATCAAAAGACCAGATCAAAAACCATAGCTAAGTCACAGTCACATGCACTTCTAGTAAGTGCATGTGAATGAAGCTTACGAGTACAAGGTTTTTGAAATGACAATTAGACAATTTATACAGCCTTAACTAAGAAATTAAATAACCTAACAATGTTATATAGACGATAACCATCAGCGATCTAACACACAGTGGACACAGTACACGCTAACATTGAACTAAAAATGAAAAAAAACAAAGAAATACATTTCCAGATTTCCAGGATTTTAAAGATCCAGTGATGCACTCTCGAAAAAAATTTAAGGTTATGGAAGTTCCGAACAGTAGTGAATATCCAAAGAAAAAGAGGACAGATCGATAAAATTTATTTTAAATAATGTCTTGGAAGTATTATTTATATGTAGATCAATGAACCTACTTTATAAGGCAATATCATTATTAGATAATAATACTAGCTTTTGCCGCCGGCTTTGACCGAGCGTATGTCGATTATCACGGTAAAAAGTAGGCTATGTTACTCGCTGATAATGTAGCTTTCTATTGGTGAAATAGTTATTAAAATCGATTTAGTGGTTAACTCACTTTCACATTTGTAATATATGTATGGATATACCTTGCTAATACCACAAATGACTTTCTGTCTGTCTATATTGTACATAACTGCTAAAAGTTTGGCGTGGAGATAACTTGAATGTTTGGAAAGCACATAGTTTACTTACGTTTTAATAATAAAGATATCACCAGATTGATTTGATTGATTACTTGATTTGAGGAGACGAGCTCAAAGCTGGATTGTTTTTATTATAAAAAATGTGTTAAAAACAACAAAAAAGAAGAAACTACAGATATAAACTCGTGCATTCACATTGAATCTACCAACAAACTATTCGTCAGTTGACCTAATAAGAAGGAGAGAGATGAGATTCGAACGCTAACAGAAACTGTACAATGATACTGAATGAATGACTAAATAAACAATTTTGTTCTTAATTTTTATTTTATTTTATCTGTTAATTTAATATCATTATCTTAGCCGAGAGACGTCCACTGCTGTACATAGACCTCCTCCAAGCTAATTGTTAGTTCTCGTTAATTGAAATTAACACAATAAATGACACAGAAATCAACATTTTTATTTTGCCTCTACGAAATATGTACATACTAGAAATAAGATTGATTAGAATACATATTCAAAATCCTATTTAAAAGGACAGGACAGTGGCAAAAGTTAAGTTTGTTCATTTTCAAATTTAGTAAGGGGTATAAAACGTGTAGTATTCATTATTTTCGAAGTATTTTACACATTTATTGCACTATTATACTCTATCCAATAAATATCACTTTAACACTAACACTTTTGTAAAGCTAGTCCTTTTTATGTTTACGCGCTTTCCTGTAAAATTTGTTAAAAAGCGCCTGCTGGGTTTTGATTTCGTGCAGCCGTGTAATGCAACTAGGATATCATAAAAAAGAAACAAAATAACTGGAGACAACGCACATACGATCGTTTTATATCAAAGTAAGCAGAGCCTGTACTATCGTAACAAGAGTGCTGATAGAGGGAATACATATACAATAAAATAAATACTAAATACATACTCGTACATACCATAGAGATGTTCATTAATTGTTCTTTGTGGGAAAAGAACCCATGACGTTTTGCTTATCAGTCAGGATCGCTTACCAATAGAACAATACTCCCATCTTCTAAAACACAAGCTATTCATCTCAAGAAATGTTAAACATTACAATCCGTAGAACTTGTAAAACCTTGGTCACTCTGGGCCTACTAATGTTTTGTGTACCTATATATTTGTACTTCCGTCTGTCTACAGTCCACAATGTCAGCCATGTTCATAATACTAAGTTTCGTCATCGCTATAAGTCTCTTTGTCTACACTTTATATCTAAAGTATCTCCGAAAATACCAATATTGGATTAAAAAAAACGTTCCTTATCCGCAACCGTTACCAATTTTAGGAAACTTCTCTGAATATATTTTACAGAAGGATAATGTCGGTTCTATCACTCAAAAACTCTGTCAAAAATTCTCAAGCGCACCCTACTTCGGCGCCTTCTATGGCACAGAGCCCACCCTGATCGTCCAAGACCCCGATCTCATTAAACTTGTCATGACAAAAGATTTTTATTTCTTCAGCGGTCGTGAAATTTCAAAGTACAGTCACAAAGAACTTCTTGTCCAGAACCTCTTCTTTTCTTATGGGGACAAATGGAAAGTTTTGCGTCAGAACCTAACGCCTTTATTCTCATCAGCGAAGATGAAGAACATGTTCCATTTGATAGAGAAATGTTCCCGAGTATTAGAAAGTGTACTCGAACAGGAAACGAAAGCATCCAAAGTAATTGAAGTGAGGGCACTCATGGCGAGGTTTACTATGGATTGTGTTGGTTCTTGCACATTTGGTGTAGACACGAACACACAGAATCAAAAAACAGGAAATCCTTTTAATGATATAGGAGGGGTTATATTTGATTCTAAAAGTTTTAGAGGGGTTAAAAACGTGACTCGTGCTATCTGGCCTGCAATATTTTACGGTTTGGGACTACAAATTTTTCCGAAAGAAGTTGAAAAATTCTTCTGTGACCTCCTAACGGGAATATTCGAAGGACGACAGTATAAACCAAGTACCAGAAATGATTTTGTAGACTTAATACTAAAGTTTTGGAAGAATAAAGAAATATCTGGAGACAGTTTAGGAAATATGAAATCTGGAGGCAGAAAAAGAGCTAATTTTGAAATTAATGCTAATATTCTAGTGTCACAATGCTTTTCATTATTTGCTGCTGGATACGAAACTTCGTCCACTACACTAGGATTCACCCTATTCGAACTAGCAAAAAACCCTGAAGCGCAAGAGAAACTAATAGAAGAGGTGGACTCGTATCTAAGTCGTCATAACAACGTGTTAAAATATGAATGTATTTCTCAGATGCCATATCTTGAAGCGTGTTTGGATGAGGCTCTTCGTCTGTACCCAGTCCTCGCAGTGCTAACTCGTGAAGTCATTGAAGATTATGTTTTCCCAAATGGACTGATGCTGGACAAAGGGGTACGAGTTCATATACCAGTTTATCACTTGCATTACAATCCAGATTATTTTCCTGATCCTAAAAAATATCGTCCGGAAAGATTTCTTGGTGAAGGAAAGCGCAATGTTAAATCCTATACATATATGCCTTTTGGTGAAGGTCCGCGAATCTGCATTGGTAAGTATAAAACTATTTTATAAATTGGTTATAAGAATTTTACTTGAGTATTATAATATTCAAACGTTATTCAATTATTAATAGTATATAGTATACTAGTGATAAACCTAACTTTTTCGTCATTTAATCAATCATAAGATATAAGTAAGATGTTACAAAAACAATGTATTTTATTGAACTTTTTATCCATATTGTCCACTAAGCCTTACAATCTCCTTTTAGAGTCATGTATGAAGTGAACAGGAGATCTCTAAGGTGATAATTTCTTTAACTCCAGAGCTTCATTGTCTGCTCTGGATGTATGATACAAAATTATATTAATTATACAGCATTTTGCCGATAAAATGATTTTTCTTATGTGATCGTGATTACTATTATTATTATTCACCATCGTAGTCTTTTCATGCTCAATTTGTGTAATCTAAGCAAATAGAGTAAGTTGAGTACCTATGCCTACTTATTATTTGTTTCCAATAATCTACATTCTGACTATCTCGCGTTAAATTAATGTTCTGTTACCACAAAAAATCGCTAGCAATTCAGTGTAGCTCCCAGTAGCTCCAGCTAAGTTGTTTCAGCAATGATTTTAGATTAGTGAGCCAGCGTTGCTACTGGCAGTCAGGTATACAGAGGCCCTAGTGCAAGTTTATTTTACATCAACTCAATCGGTAGGGTAACCGCGTTCGGCGTTGAGAATGGCCCGCTCTAACATCTTCACCAATCATAACGCCAAACGTGTTCGCTGTCGATAAACTTACACTAAGCAATCAGGTAAAAAAATTACCTTCCATTATGAAATAAAAATTTAATGCTATCATAATTTTGGAAGGCGCTGTGTTAATAAAATTCTATTGCGTGAAAAATTATAGTTTTCTTATTTTTCTTTTGTGTACTCAATTATAATATTAAAGTAAACCTAATTAGCTAATGAAAAATTGTTTACCCTAAAATATTTAAGTTAAATATTTGTTTTAGGAATGAGATTCGCGAAAATGCAAATGACAGCTGGTCTGATCACGTTACTGAAAAAATACCGTTTGGAGTTGGCCGAGGGTATGGAGACTGAAGTGGCGTTACAGCCCACATCTATTACCACACAACCGATTGGAGGAATATATCTCAAGCTCATTGAAAGAGATGGGTGGGAACAACGTATACTGCAGGCCTCTACTTGATTAATATGTTAGAGAAAATAAAGGGAATTATCAACTTCATTCATTGTGTTCATTCGTTACATAATTTTTGCTTTTTCTCTCTGTTCTACAGTAACAGATATTTATTGATTAATAAATGTATGTTACTGTTACTAAATCACGCTAGAACGGCACATAGGTTACTTTTTATCCAGAAATATTGATTTCATCCTAAGTTTAAGTAAAAATCTCCTTGACTTGCTCGTTTGGCACTTTATGTCATTAAGAAGAAATTAGTTCCTGTTTCACTCACTAATTATTAAAAAAATATAAAAAATCTAAGTTACTTCTAGCAGAGTATTAGTATTTAACTTATAACTCACGCAAAATTTGCAGTTTATTGCAACATCAGGCCAGTTTTCTGGCTATACAAACAGGATTTTAAAAAAAATGGAATTCTTTGCACCTCAAAGATAAAGTAGCTCTCGGCAGAGTGAAAACTTTAGAAGGAATAGCTCTATCTGATTTAGAAATCTCTAAACAGTTAAGTAAACCCCACGATGAACGAACATTAGCAGAAATGCAGCGTTTGAGAAATTTCATCTCTGACGAAAGGTAAACACCGGGAGAGAACCGCCTCCTTTTTTTGAAGTCACTTAAATTTTTTTTTTATCTTTAAATGTTTAGTGGAAAATACATGTATTTTATTTATATATAATATAGGTAGGCCAACATAACGCACTCCTACAATGAGACAGCGAGGTTTCGGGGTAAACGAAAATATCATCGATGTACACAATTTTTAGATTTTAATTGATTTTTCAAAAACCTTCTTACCGATTTCGATAAAAATTAAGTAGAACCATCGGGGTAGTCCTTTGAAACAAAAAAAGAAATTTCCAAATCGGTTAGGCGTCTTCGGGTAATCATACATAAAAAAAGATTCCGACTAATTGAGAACCTCCTCCTTTTTTGAAGTCAGTTAAAACAGTTCCAAAGATTTTATAACTTTTCGTTTGAGACATACATTGGTAAAATATACTGAATATATGGTTTATATACTGGTTAGGTACAAAGTCATATAAGAACAACCTTTTCTTAAATTTTTGTATGAAGTCCACCTATCTACTAAAAGATTTAAGGTACATTTTAAAGCATCATCATCATCATCATCATCATCAGCCTATCGCAGTCCACTGCTGGACATAGGCTTCTCCCATTGCACGCCACTTAGATCTTAGATTTTGGGCTTCTCGCATCCAGCTCCTGCCAGCCATCTTGCGCAAATCGTCACTCCACCTGGCCTGGGGGCGTCCTACACTACGTTTGCCGAGACGCGGTTTCCACTTAAGACGCAACACTAAAGCATAACACGTAAAAAATACAATTTTCGCAACGCAGTTCTTCAACTGCAAATAGTCGTGTCATCAAATTACTACTTAACTTCTACTAAACACCATTTAATAATTATGTTATTAACAGTAATCATCTTAAGTTTTTTGATAAACAGAATGACTTGGCAACCGCACATGCGTTTGTGTATGTAAAAACACTTGATATCGCTATGTTTAATTAAGACTATTGAAAACAGTATTATTTTGTAATTATGTCTTTATATTGCCGTGGGATGGCCGAGCCAATTATATTTATTCAAGAGATTAATATGCCTGTTTTAGTAAGGTCTCTGTAAAATGAATGTTCTTTGTGTCCGTTTCATGTATGTAAAGTTCCCACGACACCAGGATATGAGCCTAGTGCTGGAGTTGTCTTTAAAAAAATTTGAAGAAAAAAGAGAAACACATGATTTTCAAGAGCATTTTTTGGCGTATATCAGTGCGTTTCCAGATTTGGATTTCTAGTAGTGACCCTCATGAAATATGTCAGCTTTTCTGTCAATATTTTAAATCTGTCTATGAACCATCAGCATTGGATTTAGATATGTGGGTCCCACCACTGGATTATAATGTTAACTGTGAAATAATCTCTGATATCGATTTTGATGCCTCCAAGGTTCGTGAGGAGCTGAAGTTATTGGATCCGACAAAGGGACCAGGTCCTGATGGACTACCAGCATCGTTTCTAAAAAATGTTGCTGATCATATTTATTTACCAATTCATCTATTATTCCGCAAGTGTCTAAAGGAGGGCCAATTACCAGCTATCTGGAAAGAGGCAAACTTGACACCGGTTTTCAAGAAAGGATGTAAGAATGTCGTAGAGAATTATCGCCCAATCTCTATCTTGTCCGCTCTGTCGAAGCTTTTTGAAAGATTGATTCACAACGAAATTTATCCAGTCTTGCATAAGATCATTATCAAACAGCAACATGGCTTTGTTAAAAAAAGATCAACAGCTACCAATCTAGTTAATTTTGTAAGCTACCTTTTTGAAAATATGGACAATCGTTGTCAAACTGACGCAGTGTATACTGACTTCCAAAAGGCATTCGATAAGGTGGACCATGAGCTGCTATTAAACAAAATAGCTTTTAATGGCATTCGTGGAGATCTTTTAAGATGGTTTATTTCCTATATAACCAACCGTACACAAAAAGTAGTTATTAATGGATTTCATTCGGACCAAATTTTCGTAACATCTGGAGTTCCTCAGGGCTCTATTTTGGGTCCTTTATTATTTGTTCTATTTATTAACGATATTGACACTTGTTTCTTTCATTCTAAATTTTTGTTATACGCAGATGACCTCAAAATCTATAAAACTATCAATGATCTTAATGACTGCCAGCTTTTCCAAAGTGATTTAAATCGGCTGGCAAAATATTGTAGTGAAAATAAACTTTTCCTAAGCTTGCCTAAATGTAATGCTATATCCTTCACAAAAAATAAAAAGGTATTCAACTGCACTTATGTCTTAAATGACCAACCTTTGATTAAAGTATCTTCGCTTAGAGACCTTGGTGTTGTTATAGATTCTAAATTGCATTTTGACATTCATATCGAAAATATCATTAAGGCTGCATATAGAATGCTCGGATTTGTTATACGGAACACTAAAGAATTTAAAAACCCAAATACTTGTAGATACCTTTATATAACGCTAGTAAGATCTTGTCTCGAGTTTGCTACCATGGTCTGGAATCCGTTTTACAATAAATACATCGGGGCATTGGAAAATGTCCAAAAAAAATTCTTGCGGACGCTTCATTACAGATGTTGCCATGGCTATCAGGCATATGATTGTCTACTCCTGAAATACAATTTGTCTACCTTGGAAAGCAGGAGACTCCTTCTTGGAACTATGTTCTTACATGGCATTGTTCATAACAAGTATGACTGTCTGGAATTATCAAATAGATTATGTTACATCGTTCCCAGAACAGTCATGCGAAGGCAGGTTCGCTCACATCGTCTCTTAGCGATTACGCCTTACCAGGTCCCTAAAACAAATGCAGGCTTAATAACACCTCTGCGACGGCTTGTAGACAATTACAATACCTATTTTAACAGTACGGATATCTTCATGCATTCAGCAATCAAATATAAAAAAATTGTACTAGAGTGCTTGAATGATATGACTGCTTCCGGGTTGGTTTCTGAATTTCCGTAATTATTTACCATTTTAATTTAATATATGTCTAGTTTAGTCATACATCGTGTGTCTACATTTTTGTTGTGCAAATACAAGTTGTAATAATTTATATGTACAAAAAATATTATATAAAATTATATTATAAATATTATCACGTAGCATGCTCCATTTTATTATAACATTGTGTATAGTAAAAAGTGGATAATGCTGTTGGTAGTACAATTAGCACATTTGTACCTAAAATTAATATTAATTATTATTGAATATTGTACTATTGTTTGTTATCCCTAATAAATAAATAAAATAAAATAAAATAAAATAAAATAAAATTTGCATCGTATCTGTATGTTTTAAAAATAATTTGTCAATTGTTTTTATTGTATACTAGCTTCTTGGATTTCGGTACCGTGATCCTTTATTGTTAACATTTAAAAGTGAGTTATGTCCACTTAGGATATTCTTAATTTACTGTATTCTACATTATTTTAATGTATCTCTGCTGGCTTACGCGGTGTACACAAGTAAGGCTAACAGTAGAAAAGTTTTATGAGACCTCTTCAACAATAATCGTTAAATTTAGGTCGATTTACATAAAAACATTATGAATTATATATCAAAACCTTGCTCAGAAATCACACTATCTATTGTTGAAACCCGTACAGAAATCCATTGGGTAGGATTTCAGTTCAGGACTTTGTTTGTTTGTTTGTTTGAACGCGCTAATCTCAGGAACTACTGGTCCGATTTGAAAAATTCTTTCAGTGTTAGATAGCCCATTTATCGAGGAAGGCTATAGGTTATATATCACCACGCTAAGACCAATAGGAGCGGAGCACCAATGAAGAATGTTTCAAAAACGGAGAAAATTTATTACTATTGAGAGACGCAGACGAAGTTGCGCGGGTCAGGATAAGACAAATAGGCAGATGGGTCCCTTGATGATAAGTGACCACCATTGTCGCGGACACCTAGAACTCAAGAGAAATAACTGAGTTGTCGCCCTTTGAGTACTTCACTCCACTCTCTCGGAAATTCACGAAATATTTCCTTTTAACACTCTTTTTAAAAGGCTATGTTATCACTCCGATTATGCCTGCTCATAGTGAATGAAACTGTAGGTACTTAACACCAACAATGTTTATGCGATACCCAAATTTGTCCGTAAACGTTTTATGAAAAATAAATTAAAAAGAAAATATTAAAATCCACCTTCACATTTTCACTCTAAATCAACATTTTGTTGGCTAGATGTTACGCTCCTAAAATTTCACCATATCTTCCTAAAACATGATGCCCTAATAACCGTTAGATGACTTTGTTTATATTTTATCCTCAAAATAATTATCTCAAAGACAAACAGGAATTCAAAAGCTAACAAATACAAAGAACCCTCCCGTATATCGCTCACGATTATGTTGTTACAATGCTGTGTACTTAAAGACTGGTATACGCTTCTGTGTTTACCGACACGAAGGGATAAGGGTTGGATCAAA